AATAGGGCCAAGGGTTTGCCCACAACTGTTTGTACACTTACCTTGCTCGTGTGTTACATGACGTAGGTAACCTTTTCTGCTCTGTCAATAACGCCGCCGACATCTTTGTTTTTCTTGACTCGATCGAACTGGCTATCTGTGGGGTAATCGTAATAAAAGTTAGAGCGAGGACGGAAAATTGACAAAGCAACAAGAACGCAGCTGAGCAATTAAACGGTGGAACGACCTCGGCAATGGACATTTAGACAGTGAGAATTTAGCCTATTTATGCGAAAAGAATTTTTATTTTGTTTTCCTGGACAATAAAGCGAGGTGGGCTATAAACCGGGTGGGTAATAAGGCGGCTTCGACTGTATGTACAGTAAAAGCTCCAAACTTGACCACCTCTATAGGTTGACCATCTCTCTGTGTTAACCACTCTTCCATAGCTCGAACGGTCAATGTATACACTCTATGGAATCAGACCACTGTATGTTGACCACTAATAAGTTGCGTTGGCTCGGGCACGTGCTACGCATGCCTGGTCACCGCTTACCTAGGAGGGCCTTGTTCAGTCTACCAGGTGTTGGATGGCGCAAGGATCGAGGTGGACAGAAGTTGACTTGGCAACGGGAAATGAAGTCACTGACGACCAAACTGGGTGCCGTTGGTCCGTCTCGCCTTCCGGGTTGGAGTCCACGTGACTCACCTTGTACTTGGCTCGAGACTTTACAGGACATGGCTCGCAACCGACACCAGTGGCGCGTCTGCTGCCGTCTCCTAATCGGATTGTCTGTTTAAAGTGTGTTTGGTGCTGAGTTATCTGCGGGGTAATGGCTGATTATGACGCGTGGCAGTGAAAGCCGAAAGGAAGCTGTCTCGCCGATGCCGCCTTATCTTTGCACGATAGCCAGCTGTTTGTGACGGTATGTTGTTAACACAAGGTGTAGGCGCCTTGACCCTGAATGTTTGCTTAGGGCATTAAGGTTTTCAGGTAAGTCCCCCTTCTCTCCCTCTTCTCTTATTCTTTATTTCATAGGTCCTCATGGTTGTATGGCAGCGAAGCATCAGTTCAAATGGCTGATGTACTGCTGTTGGTGGTGATGATGATGATGATGATGTTGACCACCTCTGTAGGTTGTATGTCAACCATTTGGGCTGACAGTCAGTAATACTTCGATCTCCATAAGTTGACCATTTGAAGGCTCGTTTGTTCCGAGTACACGGCGTGCAGCCAGACTGCAGTGTGCGAACTTCCGACCCTCAAATCAGTGAACTTTATGTTTGAGGATACAGCATATTCTCTGTGTGTATGTGCAAGTATACATGTGTCCCGGTCGTCATCGTTTATGCGCACGCGTATTACCTCGATCAACGTGGGTCCCCATAGACCCGCGCCCACGGAAACGTGTTCAACCTCCCTCACCTGTCCACATACAAAGGTAAGCCTTCGTCTGCTCCCATGAACATGTGTCCAATCATCGCACACGCAGCAATCAGGAGTTTGAGTAACTGTCAAACTCTCGATTAACCACCAGCTCTAAGCGACAATTCATCAGCACTTTGGATTGTGGCGAGCTTGACGTTTACGTTCACATTAATTATCAAACGTGCATCCAGCTCCATTTAGTGTTGGCCCGAGGGTGTAACCAATTGAAGTTATTGCATGTAATTAATGTTTACGTAAGTAGAACCTTTGATCTTAGATCCGCACCTTGTTTCGAACAATTTGACCTCGGTCATTACTAGTAATACAACATTATGACCCAAAGAAAGGACTTCAGAGCGTTGACTTTGAAGGAAAACATTAGTCTGCTACATTTTCTGGAAGGCAGTAGCCGAAAAACGGCAGAGCATTTTGGTCTTAGCGAGACTTCAACATCCAAAGACATAAACACGAGTAGTTGGAGAGATACGATAATTAAAGTGGTGATCTGCGGCGGAAGAGGCGGAAAACGTCACACGATGAAGTCGATGAGGTTACATTGCACTGGTTCAAGCAACTGAGGGCAGCTACCCCTCGAACTTTTTGACCGATGATTCAAGAAATTGTTAAAGGGGTCTCACAAGAATTTGAGGTTGCAGATTTCCAGACATCCAATGTTTGGCTGGAGAAATTTATATTCCGATATGCAAATTCCCAGAGCGTTTTGTGTGGTGAGTCAAATGAAGTACCTGAAGAGCTTGTTAAAGACTTCATAGAAAAATCTTCCAACAATGACAGCATTTTAACGCTGATGAGTGTAGTCTCTTTTTCATGGCAATGTCTAACAGAAGCCTTCTTGTAATGGGTGACAAATGTAAGATTGAAAAACATTCCAAAGAGCGCTTCACAATTCCGTTGTGCGCTAGCTCAAGTGGGGATAAGCTATAAAGCCCCTGGTCATTGGTAAATCAGCTAGACCACGTGCGTTCACTTACCCAAATCATGAAAACCCTTCAGTCACCTGGAGATCAAACTGATCTGCGGGGATGACTGCTACTATATTTGTGGGGTGAATCAGAAGTATAGACAAAGAAATGATGATGAAAAAAACACTTCATTATCCTAGCAGTAGACAACTGTTTTACTCACAATCTTGTAAATATCTCACAAATATCACACTTAACTTTTTGCCTCCAAACATGACCTCACAATTTCAACCTATGGACCAAGGGATATTCAAAATGCACAATCGAGCGCAACTTATGCAACGGACTATGTCAAACTTACATGCTAATGCTTCTCATGCGGATGGTTACATCTGTTGGTTCAGATAATGCCTTAGATGCAGTGCTTTTAATAAGTTCCACTTGGTTCATATTTTAACCAGAAATAATAAAGAAGTGGTTCAGAAAAACCGGATTTGTTCAACGTCCCAAGCGGGATGCCCTCGCCTTATTAGACATTCCATCTCCATTGGCAGAATTCGACGGAATAGATTTTAAAGAGTTAGTGCACCAAAGACATACAGTTCCACTTCAGCGGAACATTATACCGTCAGATCGATGGCGTAGCCATGGGTAGTCCATTTGGGCCAGACCTGACTGACATTTTCATTTACCACTTGGAGCACACGAAACTACGTCCTTACATACAAAAGGTGCACATGTACAGTGGATACCTTGGCGACACGTTCGTTGAAGTTGATAGCCCTCAACAAGTAGAACGTTTACCTGAAGTTCTAAATTAGTGCCATCCTGCGATCTAATTCACAATGGAAAGCGTGGTGGACAGTACCTTCTACTTCCTGGCTGTACACGTGAAGAGGAATGTAGAAAGCACACTCACTCAACCTGTGTATCGAAAGCTTACTTGGACAGGACAATATTTGAACTTCAACAGTTTCTTTCCTCTAAATTGCAAACGAGCATTGGTCCGCTCTGTCTTCGCTAGAGCTCGTAAAATTTGTTCCGAAGATACGATCGACAGTGAACTGGAACGTGTCATCAACACTACAAGAAAATGGATATCCCGCTTGATTCATAGGTCGGTATGCAAGCACAGAAAATGGTAAGAAGCCTTTGATAAGTGTCCCCAAGAAAAATGTGTCCATTACGCTGCCGTTTAAAGGCGATCAAAGCGATAAATTCGGGCACCGCCTCCGTCAGGCAGTTGGGAAGTGTTATTACTCCGCCGAACTGGTGTTATTGCACCATGTTAGGAAGTTTATCTGAAAATCCAACCTGGAAAAGCCACACCCTCACATTATCGTTTTTGTGTTTATCTATTCCACTGTACCTGTAGTAGCACGTACGTTGGCCGAACTGAGATAAGGCTATCCACTAAGATTTCAGAGCACATTCCACGAAACATAGTCGCTAACGGTCCTAAACTACCGACTAGCTCCATTGCTCAACATGTCCTGGATTGCACTACGTGCCAACGTCTTTGTGCTTTGTTTGAAGTAATTAACCTACAGAGCAATGCCCAATTGCTTCAGTTTGCCGAAGCCTCAGCTATTCGGCTGCTTAAGCCCAATTTGTGCAAACAGACTGAACTTAAGGCCAGCTTCACCCTACCTTGGTGCGGTTATTGATCGTTTTCCTTTGAACTGAATGACCTAGTACATTGCTTTCCTTTTGTACGCAACGCCATAGTTTCCCGAATGTGTGTGAATAGCTGAGAACACTCGAAATACCTGAATTCAGCGTATCTTGTTAAAATGTTTTTTCCTGCTATTTTGAAATTTTCGAAAAGGACATCCTGCATGAAACTTTGTAATTTTGCACTGAACCAGACCCAGGTGCTATTTTCCAAGAGATACTGACTGCGGTACTACGAAACAAAGAACAAAAATCTGCTGTTACTGATGAATAAGTAATAGTGAGTAACGATGATTTGGAAATCACGGAAACTTTGAAAGAAGCCAGACATCTTTTAATGCATTCGAAATCATTTGCTGTGGCAAAATATCAAAACATGCTGAGTAGTGTGGCTTTTCCGCCTTTTCTTTTATCTTTGTGCTAAGAAACCGATTGATTTTTTCTTCAAAATGATTTTACTTTGAAATGTACCCTGCGTTTTGATTTATTATAACACTATGGTTGAACTGCGTTTGTCGTTATCGGGTTTGTCGAATCGAGTTCGTGTGAAACTAAATTTCATGCTATATTACTCACAAAGGGTATATAGGTTGCGCTAACTTTCGGTATAGAACCGTATGTGGACCACTTTGATCCAGTCCCTTGGGTGGTCAACTTACAGAGATTCTGTTGTATGTATATCCTTCTGACATTTTGTGTCGCTTTATACACAGGTGGATTAGCATTACTCTGTCATCAATTGCGGTTTCTTCCTCAATTATGTTCGGCTTGCTCGTCGTAGGGGATGTTGCTATGATTCTGTTGTTGTTGTTGTTGTTGCTGCTGTTGCTGTGTTCATTATACCGCCACGCTCCGACATTTTTGTGGTAGCTTGACGTCCGTCGAATCTGAGAATATATCTAGCGTATCTACCCCGATTGGGTTTTTGTTACCCAAAAAGACTTGGAAAGTCCTCCAGATGGTGTTTATGTGTCCTCTGTTTTTAACCCTGTTCGATGGCTTCCGTTATTGTTTGCTGTGAAACTGTCTTTACTTTCTCATATTGCCTGCATTTTTTGCCCTTTTGCAGAAAGTTTCTGTCAATATACTTATCCGACCAGCAGAATTCTACTCTTCAGGCCGCTCACCCAATTCAAGCAACCGCCGGTACTTTTGCGCCCGGTGGGACCAAATTTTTCTGCGCTTATCATAACGGCGCGATATGTGTGATTGATTTCTTGAAAAACAAGTAAGATGCGTATTGCGAAGTGTTTTACTCACTATCCACTAAGGTATCGAGTGCTTGTGCATCTTCACAGAAGCGTAACAGCCCTGACTGTGCATCCGATTTCGGAACAACTCCTTGTCGCATCCAGTGATTACGTCATTAGAATCCTAAACAGAGGTAAAATCTTTCCTCTTACTTTTTCGTACTCTTGTTTATATGCTATATATATTATACAGCTCCTAGTCCAAAGGCAACGAGCTTATCTAATTATCTGACGGCGCGGGTTCGAGCTTGCGTAGGGGAAAGGTGATCCTCGCCGTATCCTTAGCTCTCCTGCGAGCGGTGGTGGTTTCCGCGGCAGTGAAGCGCCGGTACTGTGTACTGGCGTACTACTGATACTTTTTATTTATTTCTCATGAAGCATCGATGCCGATTTACAGCCCATCCTTTGTTCCTTTAATCCTATTCTCATGTTTTTCTGGGGGCGCAATCTGCGAAGAAACCCCTTGCAAGTTACGGTAAGCGCTGCTCTGGTTGGATTTGACACAAAAACGATAATTCTTTTTAAAATTGAATGAGCAGACACCTGTGAATTCATATAAACAATCAAAACCTCACTCTTCTCTGTTGGTCGTTAGACTGATGATTGTTCATAGGATCCACTACAGTTTGTTCGCACACCAAATTGGAAAATATTATTTACATTGCAGCGCTCACTTCCATCAGAGCTTCGGCAAGTCTGAGTGAGAGAGCTTGTTCTCCTTTGATTGCATGCGTACTGCTTTGTGGACCCCGTTCTGTTCATCGTTTTGCCATCAGTGCAACATCCAGGAATGGGATTATCTCATATACCGATTCCGAGTTTATGCTGCACTCATACGGTGCGGGCAATATCTTTCCCCATTATCTTGTTGATCCAGTTTGGTTTTCCCACGAACATCCTCGAGGAATGTATGCACTACTTTGATAAGGTTTGTGGTTTTCGTACAGCCGGAGTACAAGTGGTTTTCATCCTCAATCTCATCCTCAAATCTCACTCACGCTGGAACACTGAATAATCTGACTTGTTGACTCAGTTCAACTCATCCGATTAAGCCTTGGTTGCATCATAGATCACAATCTAACATGTGGTCCTATTCGTCTTCTCTTTTATCTTCATTATCATTGACGTCAGTGTTAGACTTCTCATTCCATCACGACTAGGGCATTTGAACATATTTGTATGATGAGCACATTGCGTTCCTGATCTCTTTTTACTTGCGGGCCTTGAATACTTGTGATCTTCGACTCTTTTTCAGCTCAGAAACCATTCACTCTAGCCTCCAACTCATAGCATTGCTTGGAATCACACCATATCGTCACAGTATCCAAACATGCCATACCTCAATGAAACACGACACTTTGTCAGCAGATAGATCAAACGATGCTTATACTGTGATTGCGAAGCTTGATGGTTTCTGTGTTCTTTGGAGGCGGCGATGGTCGCCATTTAGAAATCCTAATGAGTTCTTCCAGCTCGTTCGGGTCGCCGTTCCAAGTAAGCTTAGTGCCAGTGAGGCCATTTGCGAATCAGGTGGGTCACCATCGACTAATGCGATAGGACATTTGAAGCGGTTTCATATACAGTTCATTTCTCCTACCATCCACTTGACATCCACTTGCTTCCGTCAAAGACTTGGACAACTCTTCTTCTTCACTCCGGCCACACCCAAATGCAACCGTTTCCTTATTCCATACGCCCGTTATGCCTTCCTTTCGTGTTGCAATATTCATTCACTTGATACGAACTATCAAGTGAAGTAGTCATAATATTATGAACCTGCCGCAGCAATTTTAGCTGTCTGTGTCTTCAACGAAGATCGGGCCGTGATCATTACGGCGCTGTTGTTTGGGAAGGTAATTGGTACCAATTTGATGGAACTGTGCTTCCGACCTCAGTTGTTTCTACCTTCATCAGATTTAAGATGGCATGTCATTACAAATTCGTTGATCTACCTAGAGCACTTACCTTGTTTCCTAATGTCAGCAGAGTGGGCTTACAGTGTCAAGTGAAATACGCTCATTTTTTTGGGGGGGGGATACATGTACTTCTCCTCATGAAGTGCTCCCGGATGTTCTTTTATACTGCTCTATAGAACACCGGCCACCACCCTCAGTCCATATGAATAGTCCGAACAACCTCCTCGTTGTGCCATCTGGGTGGTTCGGGTTAATCTCGTTCCAGCGAATGATTCGGCGGTGGTGTTCTAGAGCGTGATAAGTTTCCGCCTGGGAAGCCTTTTCCTTATAAAAAGGGCCCAAATGTCCGTTCAACAACTCTGCGAAGTGGCGATTGTGACTCGCCACTGAAGTCACTGCCTCTTACGTATCCGGCTGATCTTATCCAATCCACGGACATCAGTCATACAGTAAGAAGATTTCCATTCACCTATTCTCACGCTGACGATCCGACCAAAAACAATCCCAAATACGGCGTTACATTCATAAATCCAAGCAACACAGCCATACACGTACCTACAAAAACCCATATACCCCTGTCACATTGATCCATCTGCCTCTGGTAAACTTTTACTGTTATATGTATTTACCGGTCCTTAAAGTTTGTATTGCCATGGTCATGCCCATGCAGCGTGTCTCTCATTGTCGAGAATAAAACATTTATTTATCTACTTATTTACGTCACCTTCAACGCACCGTGCGTAATCTCGAAACATTCTTCCCTTTGATCATATAGTACGACTGAACGCTATAGCTGTTTGTTTTACTATTCTACCACTCCTTGTTGGTTGGGAGAACAGCTCCGGAACTCTCCACATTCTCCCACTCCGTTGGACGTCTCAGTGGCCGCATTTGTCTATAACGGCATTTGGCACAAGAGCTTAAAAGCCACTAGGGGGTAAGCTAGTTATAGGATTTCGCCATTGCTTGTTTCGACTATGGTCGGATCCAGCCTAAATCTGCCAGCTTGTGTCGCGTCATCTATCCACAAGCTGCCCTTGTTTCGCGATCATACGATCTGCGTTGGCGTGACAGTGTGATGCTGGCCTAAGGGTTATTTTCAGAACGTTCTGCTTCTGCTATATCATCACTTTGCGTACTGCAATTAACCACCTTTTGTTTCTAATCGAATTTCCCCGGGTCCACAAACCGGTAACCATGTGGCTTGGTTCTGCGTCAAAATTTACTATTAATTGTTTCTACTTTTAAGTAGTATAAAATTAGTAAAATAAGTTTTTCTTTTTCCAGGTTCCGGTAAGGAATGTGGTACTTTGCGCGGTCACACCTGCAGTATCAACAGTATTTTCATCCAGCCAAGGCACGGGACTTTCGCCCTCACCGTTGGCCTTAGTGAAGCGATACTATGGAATCTTGCGACGTTTGAATGCAGATGCCGGCTGCGTACGGAAGCTGATAGTGCCCTTACCGCTGTAAGCCTTCCGTACCCCGAAATCGTTCTGAACTTCGCAGCTTCCGTTCGTCCTGCATGTACCATGGATTTCTAACGATTCTGTTTTTTTAGTCCATTACTTTGTTTGCCATTGAGAAGCACTTGTCGATAGTACTGGCTTTTTGGATTAGCAATTTTGTGGAATCTGTTATTCGGGACATTAATTTTAACGTTGAACAGTTGGGCTAATGGGCTCCGAGAGCCATGCAATACATAGGTTACTGCACATTGAATTTGATCGGGTACGTCGACATTGGAATCGAAATTTCTTTGTCATCCAGTCGAACGTCTTTCTGTCCGCATTCATAGTAAACTTCTCATTCTACTTCTTGATTTCACGTGGGGGGGATAGAAAATAACATCTTGTCTTGTGTTTTAAATTGTACTGTGCTCACGTACTGCCAGCTGCTTTACTATCTGTGCTTCCCAGCACATTGTTTTATACTGACTGGCTTATCTGGATGTCTTGGAAAATATTTGGAACCGATCGAGAAGTCATCGTTTCAGGTTTGGAAAGTGACCGTCGAGTGTAGTTGTAATGCTGCACAGCGTTTCGCTTTTGACTTGGAAGCTTTATCAGGCGAAGTGAATTAGCTTAAAGTTGAATGGTATTTTATAACCATCATGAATAAGCTACATACAGAGGTCGATAAACTGTCGGTTCATTGGTAAAACGTTACAGCGTTCAAAGGTTAGTAAGTTCGCGTGAAATCTACGGATCTCAACTGAGGTCAAATGGGAACAACAATTGCTAGTCGTAGGTTAGGTATAGGCATGGTTAGCAATCTTAAATGGCTCGTTGAAATAATTTTGGTTACTGATGGAACTTTTCTTCGATACGTAGGGATTTGGTGAAGGGGTGTTGATTGTTCATTCTGATTTCCGATCCATCCGCCGACGCTCATCAAGCTGGCCGGAGTCAGACTGTACCCCATGCAATATGCAAACCTACTCCGTCTATCCTGTTCACGCAGTTGTTGCTCTTGCTTTTCTCCATAGCTTCAGCAATAAACCTTTGTTGGGCTGATCGCAGTCCTTTCCTGGTAACGACATTTTCGAAATCAATTTTCTGCGATTCTTGTGCGGAGTTCCCTCGCCGTTTGGCCTGTATACGCTTGCGCACAATCTTTACATGGGATTTTTAAATGTACCTAGTTGTTTTATCTAAGGGAAGGATGTTCTTCAAATGCACAATCACTGACCATTGCGTTTTCCTTTTTGGAAAACTATTCTTCCCTTCTTCTTTGTACGGAATATCCACTGTCGTTATCCAATCTATGGTTTGCCTTGCACACGGGTTAAGACATTTTACTCACTGTCTTTTCACCAATCGCCTCGCATATTCGCTAGCTATTAGCTTTTTCATCGCCTCCCTCTGCGCTGTTTTTTAATCTTCTTCCTTCGTGCACAGAGCACCCGCCCTGTGAAATAGTGATGAGGTGATTCCCGCATAAACATGCTTCGGGTGGCCTGAAATATAGTTAAGTAGTCCATCTGTGTCCACTGGTTTGCGATACATTGTCATTTTTAGCGTTCCTTCGTTCATGTGGACCAATCAATCAGGAAACGGGCGTGTGCCGCTTTGCGATTCAATTTCTATAGTGAACTTTATCACGTCGTCAGTGGAGTTCAACTACTTTAACAATTCATTTTTACTATGCTTTTTATAATCGCAAAAGTGTAGTCCACATAGCGCCACCACCGCTAATCGTAGCGCCTCTTCCTTGGGTACATTCGTGAACGAAGAGATATAATCAAAACTGACCATCAATTCATCTTGCTCGATACTCATACCTCGTGCAAACTCATATGAGATCTTTAAATATGTACTCGTTCTCTGTTAGGGCTTGCACTAGGCTTTCCAGCTATCTCTCGAGTTCATGTATTGGGAGTCTGTACCGTCCACTATAGATCGCAAGGAGACGTTAGACTTATGTATCATTGGTAGACCGTACATTCTAGGTGGAATAGCTGTTTTTGGATAAATACTGAACCACTTGCCCTTTCCTAAGCTGTCTTATACGGTCCTTAGGTAAGTACCGACCTCTGTGCTTCGCAATGGGGTTCGACCTTACCGTGATGCGATGGTTTGCGTGTCTCAGCAATCCATTGAGCTATGCTGGGTGGTGCTTTTTGTACCTTCAGAGCCGCTCATACCGGATTGGGCAATGCTTAGAGGTCAGACAAACTCAGTCTCCTGGCCCTCCAGATTGGGGGTTGGAATGAGGGTGGCTCCTTATTCCTTAAAACGGACTCCTTGTAGTCCACTGTCAAACCCACCGCCTTGGGATCAGATTTTTGAATCAGTTTTGGTTGAGAACCCGAATCGTTCTCTTATCTAGGCCATGGCAACCTGACAGTATCCTGCCCACGCAGTACACCATTACTTTTTTTCTAACAATCTCTTGATACTCTGGCCGTCGCAGAGGATAATCAACAGTGCCCTATCTGCTGCATAGAACAGAGTGGATAGGGGTTTGGATGCTACTGCTCAAGCCTTCCCGTCCGCTTACGCTTTATCCTCCTTATCGTCCCGTTCCAACTTCATTTTTATCCCCCCGGTTTCAATCCCCCAATTCTTGGCCATCCTCACCATGCTTTGATAAACGTTTATCTTCTAGTTTCAACTCACATGCATATGCGAAGCGTCACTCTTGCCCTATCGACAAGCCCATGTCTAACCAAGCCGTGGAACCCAGTTCATCGGCTTCTATTTGGAGCCCCCTATCTTCCCAGGTTGGCATGTCTCAACGTACGCACATTGTTACAGATCGGTCAACTGGCACCACTTGCCCGAACATTAGAGACTTTCTCGATCGATGTCTACTAATTATCAAGAACTCGCCTGCAAGACCCGAGCTCTCTTCTCACTTTGCGACCCCTAGCAATGCTTTCTCATTGCGCCTATCCGGTAACGATGCAGCTTCGAGTACCGGCCAAGCCGGTGTTGGTGTTGCCCTGAGTCCTCGGGCTGAAGCTGCTCTGGTTGATTGGATTCCAATCAGTAGCTGGATATGTGCGGTCCGATTAGCTGGCTCGTTCAAAGCTTCGAAGTCGCGCGAGACTAACAGGTGTCTATTCATCACCGCTGCCTACGCACCCACAAACTGTAGCGATGATTCGGTAAAGAACGACTTCTACCGCCAACTGACTCAGCTCCTTCGCCACAGAAGAAGCACGGACACTGTAGTGTTTGCTGGAGATCTGAACGCTCAAATTGGAAAATTGTCCACTTATGAGCTACATCTGGGCGACCGACATGGTGTAGGCTCCCGTAATGATATCAATGAGCGGTTGCTTCATTTGTCTGATGATTCTCTCCTATTTCTTGAGAACACTAATTTCCGACACAGCACCTGTCGGAAAGTGACATGGCGCCCACCAGCCATGGACGGAAATCGATCACATCGCGATCGTTTATCGCTTGAGAGGCTGCGTTCAAACTATCGTTCGATTTGGAGCACATGTGTGGACCATGACCATGCATTTATATGTGCTGATCTACGGATGCCATTTGGCGGTCGTCCTCGGCCAACTGATGAAGCCAGGTGTATTGATTGCGTATCGAAGTATGCTAGCGTTTGGTTTGAGAAAGTGCTCACTGAATACAGTTGAAGATCACTGGTTGCATGTTTACCAACCTTACTTGAAACAGGCAAATCAAATAGTAAATCCACTAGCCGAAATAGACATAGGGTCTCTTCGAAGTCTCTGGAACTTATCGATGCTCTCCGGCACATCCCTGCTGGATCCGAACACAACGAGACTCGCAAAGGCATCATGGCAAACCGCGTGCTTACCTGAAGAGAGACCGTGAAGCGTGGTGGTCACATCGTGTATCAGAGATGGAAGTGGCCACTGCCCTTGGTAACCATCGGAAGCTGTTCCGTCTGATACGGAAAACGGGCAGCAGCAGACCTGGTGTTAGTAAAACTGTTTATGACGTGATAGGCAGCCTATTCACAACTTGTCAAAACGTTTGGAGCGTTGGACTAAGCATTTTGAAAAGCAATTTGACCGACCGGAATTGTTAAATCCCTCACCGGCCATTGATCGCCGTGCTCTGTGGGCTGTCCCTTTGGATCCGCCCTCTCGCTCAGAAGTCGAACTTGCAGTCGGACTGTCGAAGTTGAATAAAGCCGCGTGATCAGATGATCTTCATTCAATCCGCTTCAAATTCGGGGGCCCTGCTTTTGTTTATGATGTACACTAGTTCCTAGTGAAACTGTGGGAGCAGGAAACTGTCCCAACCGACTGGAGCCACTCCGTTATTGTCCTGATCTTCAAGGGGGCTCGCGTTCGGAATGCGGCAACCATAGAGGAATCAGTCTGACCCCCATCACCTCTAACTTACTTACCTCTGTAACCCTTCACAGACTGACTGGTGCTCGTGGAGACCAGAGTCGTGAGGAGCAAGCCGGGTTTCGTCGTGGTCGGGGATTCATCGAACACATTCACATTACGTCAGTTGTTGGAGCACGGTCACATATATTGACGGTCCACCGTTGTCATGTTCCTCGACATCAAAAGTGCCTTCGATTCAGTGGATCGACGTGCCCGTTGGGACTGTCTTCTAAGGAAAGGTGTGCCAGAGAACTGTAAATTCTATTCGAATGTTTTACGCACGTAGGTCGGGCAGAGTGAGGGCTTACGGCAAGCTGTCGTCGCACTTCAATATTTCCAGCCGTGTAAGACAAGCATGCCGCTGTCACTCTTCCTCTTTAACTGCGCTATTGACGAAATCACGGGAATCGCGTCACAGGACACGACTTCGAAGGTGTGAAGCTGCTCCCAGGTGAATGACTTTTTGACTTGGAGTATGCTGACGATATTGCCCTCATCTGTGACAGCTCCCATACGTGCCAAACGGCACTAGACAGATTAGCTCTTGCTGTCACCCGTTTCGGTCTATACTTTGCACCCTGCAAGTGCAAAATTTCCCTACAAGATTGACCTGGACCTACGCTGACCTTGATGGGG